CGAGTTTCATTCATGAATGAAAGTGCGTTTTTGAACGAATCTAGTGATGCTACGACGGATTTCCGTCAGTTCATAAAGACAGTCACTTGCTTCATTCCTGAATGATTCAGCCGTTCGAACGAATCGGTGATAAAAATCAGTGACTTGCCGCCACCTGCTGGTGGATTTAGTTTCATTTTTAGCATTTAATTTCGGTTATTTAAATCATTTAATATTTCTGTATTCAAAATTGTATATTTAAAACATTAATCTCCACATGAATTTATGAATTTAATTGCACTCATGCCACCTCTGAGCCTCATTAAATGTCTGGAAATGTACCTACAAGCCACTTTTGTGGTGTTCTGTGCCACCTCTGTAGTATTAATTAATTTATTAATACTAATTTCATATGATTGGTAACTTATTTGTCTTATTCTACTTATTATATTGTTTTAAATAGAAATTTTAAAAAGCTTATAAACATACATTTTTGAATTTGACAGATGAAAATTATGCCATTTATAAAGGTAAAAAGAAAATACTCCTTTAAAGTCACTTTAAGGAGTCAAATGTCACCTTGTATTAGGAAGGCTAATTTTTTTTATCAGAATTTTTGATTATTGAGCAGAAGGTGCTCCTAAATTTTTTAATTAGGAGGACAAGCACTCCTGACTGAAATTATATGTTAAAATTGAAACTAAATCCACCAGCAGGTGGCGGCAAGTCACTAATTTTATCACTGAATCATTCATTCAATTGATTCGTTCGAACGGCTGAATCATTCAGGAATGAAGCAACTGTCTTTATGAACTGATGGAAATCCGTCGTAGCGATGGAACACTTTAATCCCTGAAGGAGCCATATTTTTATTATTTAATTAAAAGCTTGATTTACTATGAAAACCTAATGCAACTTTAACTCTTTAATCCAGAAATGCAAAAACTATTCGTTCTGAACTTCTGTAGCTTTTTTATTCAATGAAACATTTTGCCACTGAAAAAAATATTACCTACATAAGTGGACATCAGTGGGGAGAAAAGTAAACGAAAGTATCATTTGACTTCTTTTACAATAAATATACTACATTTATTTCTTGATACTGATTGGTTGACACGCATCCCAAGGGTGATTTTAATCTGATTCAAAACTATGCCACATGACCACGTAAGCGTGTATTAAATTTGAAAAACATTCAATTGTCCATAAGCCAGAGCAATTAAAGGAGCTTAATTTTAAGAAGCCAAAATCATCATTAATTAATAATGGAAACAAGACTATCAAGATAAAACCATTATTATTTGTGCTGCATTCCATTTTGCAATTATAATTTAATCTTGTTATAAATTCAGCACACCTCTTTCTTATACAGCAGTGTGCTTATTTTAGTTGTTTTTCAAAGTTTTTTTGTTTCAGTTAAATCCTATTTAAAGTTCAAATAAATTCAATGTTTAAAAGATTAATATGTATAATCTTTCCAAGGTCAATGAGTAAAATAATTGTGACCTCAATATTGGAGGGTACTATTATATTTTAAAATTAAAGGGAAGTATTAAATACAAATACAATTACTTTATAGTAAACTTAAAAAATCAAATTTAATATTTACTACTTTTTTCATTTATCATTTTCGAACTTAAAGGGGTCATATGATGCGATTTCAAGTTTTCCTTTCTCTTTGGAGTGTTACAAGCTGATTGTGCATAGATAAGATCCCTCAAGTTGCAAAGACTAAAGTCTCAAAACCAAAGAGATATTCTTTATCAAAGTTAAGACTCTGCCACGCCCCCCTAAAACGGCTCATTCTAACACGCCCCCACATATCTACCACACTAT